AACGTAATCCTAGGATGCGTTAGTAACCATAAACCATATTTTCGGAAAGACGCAACTCTATGATAAATTAGTAAAAAAAATGAGAAATTTCAAAAAATACCACTTTTCAAGTGGCACTTTACAAAAATGCCACACTTTTGAAATCTTTACAAAAATGCCACTTTTTCAAAATTATTTTTTCTTTATATTATTTATATTTGGGTTAATTATGTTCTATTAGGGTTTAGTTTTGAGTGTTTAGGAGGTTTTAGGTGTCAAAATATTTTTTTGGGTTTAGAATTTTAAGATATAAGCTTTATAAATCTATAATTAGTGACATTTTTGTAAATGGACACCCCTAAGTGGCATTCTTGCAAATGTGCATACAAAAAGTGGAATTTTTGTAATTGTTAAGCAACTTTTTATTCGAAAAGAAGCAATCTTATGATGCATTAATTATCACATATATTTTAAGCAAAAAAAAAACGTAACTTTATGATCTATTTTCTATGATAGCCATTGTAACCTTTATCTTTTCTAAATTCTGTTTGTTTAATTTTCATAAAATCGAATATCAATATAAAAATCGTTTTTCTTTGAAGTTTCTTTTCATTTGTTCTTGTTTTTGCATTATTAAACCACAAAAAAAAAAATTAAAAGAAAAATTATTTGTTTCACTTGCTATTTATTTCGAATTTTCATAAAACAAAAACCCCATAAAAATTGTTTTTTGGTTTATTTTAACTTAGTTTCGTAATTCGTTAAAATAGAAAACGAAAATAAAATTTTTTCCCTTTTGTTATTGTTAATACCTATTATCAGAACTTAGAGTTAAAAAAAAAAAAACAAGTTTCCATAACTTTCGTTAATTCTGTTTCCATATTTTCTTATTGAGTTGATACGGTCTTAATACTCATCTTCTTCCTTGTTCTTTCACGAGATACTTTTAAGGCAAAACCAGAGCAAACATGGCGTCCTACTTCATGGAGAAAGTGGAGCATGATTCATACAACTCCGATTGGAGCCAAGAAGAGGAGTCCGAACAAGAGTTGTGTACCAACGGACCAACATGTGGTGAACAAACGTGGTACGATGATAGCTCAAGTTCTGATTTTGGAGAAGAACTAGATGATGAAGAACTAGAACCGGAGCCACCAGATTGTTATTGCTCATGTCAGCAACATGTCGAGCCATGCACCTACACGCGTCAAGCCAATTGGGTTCAAACGAATTCCTATTTTTGTGAAGAGAATGAAAATGCAAATTATCAGAATCATCCTCCCAAGCGTGAACAGAAGTCCCACAACTATGGAGTTGCCTCATACCGAAATCAAGTTCAACCGACACGAACCATCCCAAAGAAGCAACCTAACAAGAGATATGATTACACATCTAATCCCTTAATATTTACAGGTTCTAGTAAGAACCCGGAGGTG